ACAATTATATTTATATAAAAAAAACTTAAAAAAAAAACTACTCGGTGTTATTTTAAATCTATAAGTATATACATATATATAGAGATTCAACGTAAAACTTTGGGTCTTAAGATCTGGCATTCCTTTTGGTAAGCCTCAACATTCCTGCCCTTTCGTAATTGCTGTTAAATAATAATACGAAAATATTTATACGCAATCTGTCCAGTTACAGTTACATTTAAGCCAATGCACTTTTGCATGCTCATATTTTACCTGTTACCTGCCTTGGGAGGGGAGGGGAGGCGTTTTCCTTTCGTTTCTCTTTTTTCTTTTTGGGCAATAAATTGGCATTTAAATTAATACAATTTGAATTATGTGGCCTGTAACGGGCCGATGGGGGCCAAAGGCAAAATAGCGTTAATTTTCAATCAAAATCGCGCATCCGCGAAATTATCATGAACTCAGCACAACAAAAATCGAATGTGTGTGCGTGTGTGTGTGTGCCCTGGGAGATTATCAAATTGATTCCAATTAACACTTGCCACTGCATCAAAGCTGCAGTTCGAGCCAAGTATGCAAACCTTATAAATATTTCACGTTTTTACGGCTAACAGAGCCACAACAAGATCGAGCCAAGCGCAGCGCGCTTCATTGTCCACTCCGCAGTCGAGGGGAAATCAAGTTTATGGCGGCAAACCCTTTTCTTTCTTCCTTTTTTTTTGCGCAGTTTTTTCCCCGCTTTTTACAGCAATCCTCGTGCACATAAGTTAAGCGCACTTTGTCGTTATTCGTAATTCGAATTGACAAACGTTCATGTGGCAGCGGCTTTGCCCCGCGCCGCCCTGCCCCATCCGGCTGCACAGGCAACAGTTCCTTTCAGTCCGCTGGCCAGCGCCTCGTGTGAAATGATAAATATTCCATAATTTCGCTTGGCATTCAATTTCGATTTGTGTGACACATAAATTACGAATTAACGCTTTAAGCTCAACGCCAACCAGTTGAGTGCAGCCGGGTTACAGCCGAGCCAGGGGCTACCCTAGTGGGTCACGGGTGGGCAAGCAGCAACAGCAACAACAACAACGTCGCATTGTGCGGCATTTTTCGATCAATTTGGTAGTTGCGCTTGTGTCCGGACTTATAAATCAGCCAAATACCCTTTCCATCCATGCCCGCCCCGCCGCTGTGGCAACTGAATATGTGGTAGCCCACCTTGGTGTTAGCCTGAACATTTTTCTATTAGCTTGGCTCTCTGCACTGTCAGTTAACTAATGTAAATCATGTATTATTAGGCATAGCCAAAGGGGAACTTAAGCGGGCTAAGCTCTGCTTAGAGAGACCATGCCAAATGATTTCCGATCTTGTAATGAAAGTGATCAAATGAACTCTCTTATGATAGCGATCAAGGCATGGAGTTTAGCTTACGAATTGGGAAATTGAATATAAGTTTATATTTAATATAATTAATATATAACATACCTCGGCTAACTTTCAATTAACCTCTACTCTCTCCACTCACATGCGTATACACAAGGTTAATTAGCTGTAGTCCATTCTTATCTTTAAGAAAGATCTAAAAAAAACCTAATTAACTTGCTCGTTTTTATGTAAATCGTGTAATTTATGAACCCAAATGCCTATGAAGCAAGTTGAAATCGTATTACTAGAAATAAAGAGCGCCCACGTAAAGACAAAATCATTTTCATAGAAAAGGATATCCTGGCGAACTTTCTTAAGACGCAAAAAGAAGTTCAGAAGTAGCATGGGGCGTGGGGCATGCCGCATGGGGCATGGAGCATACCAGCAATGAGGCATACGAAAAGTGAAAGATACGCACAAAAGATGATTAATAATCTCTAAGCCACACGCTGTGCACAGAGTCCTGCCCCACCTCTCCCGGCCCCCTCACTGTGTGAGTGGAGAAAAGCACGCGGAAAATCTGCAGTTTCCCTTTTGGAGTCGGCGCCAAGACAAATGTCCTTGCTGCGTGGCCGCTTTAACAGTTCATTTAAACGGATGCAGCTCCTGTCTGCGACCAGCTACTCCATTTCCCCCACAGCCGCAACTCCACCTCAGCCCCAACAAAAATGCTGATTTTGTCAACTGTTTGCCACTGATAAAATTATTAGCTTCGCTCTTTGTTTCACAGCTCGCCCCAGCCAGTTCCAAAAGGAATACGGAATATAAAATAAAAAATAAAATGTTTCGTCGCATTTTTGTATTAAAATGCAAATTTTTGGTTAATTTTGTTGTTTCTGTTTTAATCAGCGGCCAAACAGGGCGAAGAGCCTCGTTTCCCTTTGGAAGGGGGCAGCAGTGGCTGAAAAACTCAGCCATTTACCAGCCGGAACACGTCCTGTCTAGTGGTTGCACTTGGCTGATGATGAATAACCTCGGCGTATGTTCCGCCCCCCCCCACAGCAGCCCCTGGCCAGACCGTAGGTTTACCAGACTCAAGATTTGTTGCATAACCTGCGGCCTCAATTTTTAATTTTCAGCTAATTATAGCTGCTGATTGTTTTCTTCTTGTTTTTAATAAGCCTGCCTACAGAACTTTATGTTATATATACTCTGATAAAAAAAATACCAAATTGATATTTTTCATATATTTTTAAAGTAAGGAAAAATGCTTAGATAAAGAGGAGGCAGTAAAATTGTTGATATTCTCTTTTAACTATTGAATAGTATGTGTCGTAAATTAATATTCTGTGCAGACCTAATAATCCTAGATTTTCTTGTAATATTCCAATTAGATATTGCTAAAATATAAACGCATTCACGTATATAAACATTAGATTTATATACGTGTATATATCAGATAACATAATGTCTCATCAGCTGGCTATTTGTTGCTGTCGCACTGTTTGCTCTAATTTCGGTTGCCTGGCAAAGGGAGAGGTAATCTATATGTATGAGTTTATCTGGGATCTGGGCAGGCACTCGAGTCAATGCGGCATTGTAGGAAACTCTAGTCTCACATAAAAGACATAAACAATTAAACTCATTTGACGATTAATTACGCGACGCGGCTAAATCGCGTGCCGCCGTCGACGCCACACAAAATGTGTGCTATCACAACAACCAGCAGCAACAGCAACAACTACAACAACAACAACAACAACAGCAATGGGTTACTCTGGCTGTGGCAAAGTACAAATTCATTTGCTGCTAAAGACACTGAAGGCCCGATCGGAACTTGCATGTCGTGTCATAATCTAGATGAATGTATAATTGCATGGCCCGACATGCGGCCAGCACCCAGGCGAACCAGGCGAACCAGTGTAGCCCAACGAGCAGTCGGAATACCCTAGCTTTTTGCTGTTACGTGCCGCTCATCAAATGAGCTTAAATGTCAACCAGCATAAGTGGGAGCCGAGCAGCTCGGCCGCACTTGCGCCTTGTCTATTTTCAAAATATTTTCATATACTTTAATAGAGAACATTCCTAGCTGCCTCCGGGCACATGCAATTAATGAATAATTACTTAGGAGCCACCCTCGAAGGAGCCGATTCGAGAATCCGAAACGGCGCATCATCAATGGGTATTCTCACATAGCTGACCTAAATTATTCAATTCGTTTTTATTTATTTTTAATTTTTTGATTTCTTGCAATAATTGTGCTGTCTCTCTTTCTCTTTCTCTTTCTCACTCTCTCTGTCTCTCTATCGCTTTCTTAGTGCGTTTCGGTCATGTTAAAGGGGTCTCTTATTGTTTGTATAACTATTTATTCTAATTTGACCCGCTTATTGTTGGCCGAGTAACATTCTCACATTTGGGGTCGCTCGTTGCTCCGATTATGAAATGCCATTTGAGAGATATGAGGGAGCCGATCGACGGCATGAGCTGCTGCTGCTGCTGCTCGTTTACCCCGTTTGTTAATTGCTCTAACAATGTCGCCCGATGCTCGATGCTCGATGCTTAAATGATGAATCACTTTTTCATTAAAATTTGACTTTGAGCGTGACCCTCATGTTGTTCACGCTGACTTCTAGGCGGCTAATGTGAGTAAATAACTCTTGAGTGTTGCCTTAATGAATGAAATGGAAGTTGAGAGAGAAAGAGAGAGAAATATATACATATATCGGAAGTAGAACTCTGATGAGGAAATATCATAAAATTTTATGGCAAATATAACTGAATCTGTTTTCGAATTCTTTCCTTCTATATACTACTATAATTATATACTGTAATAATTATATATTATTTGGAAGCCTCAAAGTGTATGAGAACAACCTCTATGCATTTTCTGTTATATGAGGAAATTGTTTATATTAATATTGATCAGACAGAGTACAATTAAGCATAAGTCTAACACAGATTCAGCTTATAGCTTGTACATCATATCTCTGCTAAATTTAAGTGAAATATCTATATGTTTTATCAAACTAACTAGCTCATGCACAATCTCATTCGCCAATTGATAATTCCAAATTCATTCAAACAAGTCTTTTATCTACGTGGAACAGTTAGAGTCAACCAGCTGTGCTTGTCAACAAATTCGTGCTAACAATGCAACCAAGCAAAAATGATAGCAGAAATCAAGAAGAAAATTAGAGCATTTGCCAAACAGCTGCAGCGAAGCTCAACAGACGATAGTAAACCAAGCTTGATTTAACAAAATGTGGCAATGCTATTTAAGCGCTGCCGAAACTGCATTAGAGTTCAGCGTTTAATTTGTAGAGCAACTGCATAGAGATGAAACTCATTTTAATAAGTGCGCTGCTGGGCTGTATAATTTCAACAAGTGCACAGCATACGACCTCACGACCTTCTCAGGCGTCGACAACTTCACAGGATGCGGCCATAAATGAGAATGTGTCGGCATTTTCACAGGATACTACGTCAGTGGAAAGCCTTGCAAATACCACAGCATCGAAACGACTTTCGATTGAGAATCAGCTACTTCATTTAATGACAGACCACACAGCCCAGATGCATTCATCTAACGCCTTTTTGAATGAAATTGGGAATGCTATAAACCTATTGGCCGTCAATGTGCAAGAGCAAATCGATAGGCTGCCACAGCTGAATCTAACGAAACAACAGCTGGCCAAGGCTAGCGAATTGGCCAAAAATCAAACGCAACAAATTCTGCAGAAACTTTCCAAAATGACCCATGAAGTGCTCACTAAGATGGATCGAACTACCCACAACATTGAGTATGTGATACAGGAACAAGAAGTCGTCAAGGAGCAGATCAATCGCTTCCAGAGCCAGCTCAACTCTCATCAACAACGTCTGCTCAATAGCACTGATAGCATTGACAAACATCTCCTGCAGCTAACCGAGCTTGTCTCTAGCGCCGTGCTGCCCCGTATACAGAGTCTGAATCATTCCTTCAGCAGTTTGAATAACTCTCAATCGAATATTCAGCTGCAGCTGAAGAATATGGCTCAGATCAAGGAAGCTACCACGGCAGCTGTAGGCCAGCTGAATTCCTTGGATCTTCAACTGGCTTATCAAAATCTCAGCCAAAACTCTCAGCTGCACAAAATAGCCGAGGCTGTCAAGCATTTTTGTCCACAGCAGGTAGCTTTAATTGATAAGGGCTTGCAAGACCTAATTGTCGCCCAACAGCGCTTACACTCAAAGTTGGCCGTTTGCGAAAGACAACCAACAAGGCCAAAGAGCTATGAAGTGAAGAAGGGCCCAGAGTACAAATCCTCAAGTGCCGCAACTCAGCCTCTAGCTAAGCCTTATAAGATTAGTGAAGAAAGCCCAAGGAGCTATACCCCAGCTAGTGCAAATCCAAGCCAGCCAGAATATTACGTGTATGGTAAGACATCCCCGTCACAGTCTGGCAAACCTAATCTGGCTAAGCTGAAGAACGTTATATATAAAAGTGCTGCAACGAAAGCAGAGCCGAAATCCAGCGACTTTTACATAAATGACATGCCATACTCATCCAAGCACGATAAGGATTCCATATCTGAAACGAAACAGCACAATAAAAATGATTTGACATATGACTTGGTTGAGATGCTTGCGAACAAGTCGCAGGATATACTAAAGCCCGATGCTCAGCTAAGCAAGTCCGTTGAAATCTACAATGGCAAACCACGTCAGCCGCCGCAGATCTATGAATTTGACGAGGGAACTAGTCAAAATCAAGCTGAAGCCCAGAGCAATGCCAAATACGTCTTTGATATAGTCAAGGCCCAGAGCGAGCAACCAAACGCGAACCATAAAACTCCACAATTCAAGCCGAGGCGAATTGGTAGTACATATTTTGGCAATGCATTTTCCAGTAGCTATGCACAGGTGCCACAATCATGAATAATCTGCCGACATTTAATGTATAAGTTAATTATATGAATAGTGTGAAAATATTAAAATTAATTTAATAAAATAAGTTTTTTAAAATAAAATAAAATAAAGTAATATCCGAAGCATAGTTAGAATTTTTCCACACTGATAAACATTCATAAATAAAAACCTTAACTTTACCCCTCATTATTCAGAAAAAAATTATACCATCTCCCATTTATTTATTTTTATTACAATTTTTAAAGGACCTCAGCACGTTGAGTCAACGGCCGAGTGGAACAAAAAGCGAAGCGAAATAAACTTAAATCGAATGAACTACAAATTGGCCGGCATCGAGTCGGAGTACAAGCACAAACCGAATTTAAAGTCAAAGTCAGAGTCAAATATGCCAGCTATTTGGTGGCTATCAATTTACAGACAAGAGCCAAGCGTGAAGCAGACCAAATGAAACTGATACCAGGCGAATTGAGCGGCTGTCGAGAGCGGAGTGAGGATGGCAGGGAGCTGTATATGGTAGGTGGCAAGTAGACAAAAGTCGCGCGGAACAAGCGCAACATGAATGAACCTTTTAACATACTTGTAGTTACTAATTCCAAGCGACAGGCGACACAGGAACACAACAGGCAAAACAAAAACACAAACCCAAAACAAAAGGAAACAAAACGAATTTTTCATTTGTTTTCATTGTTGGCCATTTGTTAGGCGAGACGGGAAAAGTGGAGGTGGGGCGGGCAAGGATAAGACAAGCCCGAACAAAGTTGTATCAACAAAGTGACCAAATCACTGGGCAATGGAAACAGCTACCAAAGCAGCAGCAGGAGTAGCAGCAGCAGCAGGAGTAGCCGCAGCAGTTGTTGTTGTTGTCCTGATTTGTTGGCCCAACAGATGCTATGCGAAGGTGTTGCGCCCGTCCCGCATATAGCCTATATATATATACTTAAACATACATATATCGACGAGGCTATTCAGACTCGAGAGTTTTCAGGCACACGACCGTTTTTGGCACAAGCGATGCAATAAATTATCAGCTGTACAAGAAGGCCCGGGAGCAGGCCGAGAGAGATGGCAGACAACAAAAGGCACTCGAGCGAAAAGAGATGGCAACAAATGCAATTGACAAAACATAAAAGACAAACAAAACTCGGGCCCAGAATGACCAGAAGTATGTACGGCCCGAGAGCAAGACAAAAAGGCAGCCACAATAAACACTGGACAACATGCTGCGACCCCGTAGCTATAGCCTGAACCTAAATCTCAACCTGGTAACGCGCTCCACCGCGCCACTCCCCGTCGCCCTGCCACGCCGCTCTTATCGGGCCAGAAGTCACTCGGAAGCAGCCGCACAGCAGTCCAAATGACAACTTTGAGGGCAAAGTCAATGAGCGCCTTCCTGCACCCAGTTGGCCGTCTCGTCGTCCTCGTCTTCGTCCAGTGGCGGAGACAAAGGAGGATCCCGGCGCGTTCCATATCAAAACATGAATACAGCGACAGCTAACAAAACTCTCAACATGCGTTGAAATGTTGAAATGCTAAGAAATATTTCTACAGCCTCAGCGACGACTCGAAACATGCAACGTCTCAAAATCTTGTTGCCCAATAAAAATAAAATAACCAAGAATAAACATTTAGGCGAGCTGTGGAAGACATTTGAATACTCTAACAGCGAGATTTTTATTACCGAGATCAAGACGTCAGAAAGGTAAATCGAATTCTTGGCAAATATTATGAGCCGTAAGAGGACTTAACAAAATTATAGATTTCATTTTGTTCTACCAGATTACTGTAACAAAATATTGCATAATGTTGTCATGTGATATCAAATAATTTGATTAAATTATTATGGATTTAATTGAGCAATGCTTGACGGTAGAATAATTTAATATTCTACTAGAGTAAAAATTGGCACAAATATTTATTAATTTATTGTAGAGAATATAATTAATTTTATTATTTTGCTGCTATTTAGAACTTATATATATATTATATATATGGTAGAGTATACAAAAGTCTT